ACCGGGAACCGAACTCACGACCTTGCACTTGCCAGGCAGGCGCTTTGCTGCTGAGCTAAATCCCCAGCCCCAATTCCTATCATCTTGTTTTGAAATCCTGTATCATTTTTGTTTTTGTCTTCATTGTTGTTATTTTGTCATTGTTTTCCTCTTTAAAATAAAAAAAAAGTTTTATTTTAAAGAGAAAAAAAGATAGACATAAAATATGAAACCCAGTTTCAAAACAGGTTAGTAGGACAATTATAACGGTTGATACACTGCATATTGCAGTCTTCCTAGTAGTTATTCAGAGCAGAAGATATAGGCATGTCTGGTCCATATAATATTAGCACAAAACTTTCTTTTTAATGAACTAAGAGAAATTAACTGTATAACTATCTTATGTATACATGTATTTTTTTTTCTCTTACATGGGGATTTTTACAAGAGAGTAAAGTCTAAAGAAATGACTAGGGGGCTGGGGATTTAGCTCAGCGGCAAAGCGCCTGCCTGGCAAGCGCAAGGTCTTGAGTTCGGTTCCCGGTACCGGAGAAAAACCAAAAAAAAAAAATAAAGAAATAAATAAAGAAATGACTAAAGTACAATGCTTTTATAGACAAAATATAATATTGTTGTTTTGCAATATATATATTGTTGTTTTGCAATATAATGCTTTTATAGACTTTTTAGACAAAAAAAACAAAAACAAAAATCAAACCAAAAAACAACCCAATAAATTTGTAAAGAAATAATAGAACAAATAGCTCTCTGGATAATGGGGGTAAATTCTAGAGATGTTTAAATAGTGGTAGCTAGTGAAAGATAAGGACTATGCCCATGAGTTTATTTATTCATGTTCTTTACAGTTTTAGTTACCAGTCTCTGGTAGTTAAGAGTTAATTTCTCATTTTTCTACGGAAGGATACCTTTCCCAAAACCTCTTTATGGTTTGTTGCATGTGCAAAAAAAACTGGCCTAGGAGCCTTTGCTGAAGTTACAGTTCCTGGGTGTGTCAGCTTGCAGTAACATACCAGTTTAGCATATTGTGAGCTGGCAATTAAGAGGTTGTTCCTAATTCTGAAGAAATATGACCATTTCTTCAAGTTGCATGAACTAAAAGTGGGGACCAAAAGAAGGGGCTTCAGAGCAGTAAATTCTCATACTGTAATAAGAGTATTATTAAAGAAAAGTGTGCTTTACATGAAATAGTTTTTGCTAAACTGCATAGATTTACTGCCTGAAAACAGACACACTGTGAATTAAAACATATATTTAGCATCTAAAATTAGGAAAGTACTTTTAAATAAATAAATATTAAAGAAATGTTTAGGGGAAAAGTACAAAGTAATTCTTTCCTAATAACTTAAAAATTCACTAGGGGAAGGGGTGTACTCAGTGGTAGAGGACATGCTTTGCAAGCATGAGGGAGAGGGTTTGATCCCCAGGACCACAAAAATAAATAATTAAAATTAAAGAAAATCCTTATTATCTACCCATAGGAAAATGGTTACATAGAATAAGGCATAATCTTCCCAGAGAACATCATACAGCAATTCACATGTTACAGAAAATACTGAATAATGGGAAACTGAACAAAATGAAAAATAGACAAAAACATTAAGAATAAAACAACATATAGAGCAATATAATAAACGAAATATTTATTTTATTTATTACCTTTCCACTAAGAAACTTCCAGTCAGACAAGCAGCATATGAAAAAATTTCTCGGATTTCTCTACATTAGGAACAAGACAGGGGATTAAACCAAATCATACAATATGTCTCTTACAAAATGAGTCATGATAAATAAAACATGCTATAACTGTCCTTGCAATTTCTCCCTCCATCTTCTGTTTATCTCAGCATCTAAAAGTCTGCTCTGTTTGCTAAATCACAAATGTCAGTGGCAGGGGCTTGGGATTTAGCTCAGCAGCACAGCGCCTGCCTGGCAAGCACAAGGTCATGAGTTCAATTCCCGGTACCGGAAACAAAACAAAAAAAAACAAATGTCAGTGGCAAACATGGAAACACGAAGGTAGAGTCTGAAGCCTCAAGGAAAGAGTACAAGGCCTGATCTGGGGTCAGAACCTTCTAGGTTAAAATTACTATATTTTACTTTTTGTTTGTTTACAGAATTCCTATGTATCCTACCCCACCCAATCTTGCAGGTGCTATTGATCACTACTCTACTAAAGTGCTGAGAACATGTAACTTAAAGAAATCTTGTAAGTGTGCAAATACTTCATCGTTTCTGCTCTGCGTATTACAGAACATTTTATACAAATGTTTCTAGAATAAGAAAGCCAGCACTAAAACTTCTACCAGAAAGACCCTTGTATGAGGGAGCACAATCTACAGATCATAGATTCTATGGCTTGGAGGAGGAATACCCTGTTCACTGCAACCCTGGGGTGCATAAAAAAGTAGTTCCAAGATGAAAGGTAGTTGGGAAATGCCAAAGAATGTTTCCTGCTCAGAATCATAGTATACAGAAACACCCTGAAAACCCTGGGAAGTCCTATAGCAAAGAAAGCTGTGCTCAGGGAGCTTACAGATGAGTTATGATGATTAATTTTAGGTGCCAACTTGGCTAGGCTATGGTACTCACATCTAAACCATTATTCTAGATGTTTCAGTAAAGCTATTTCAAAGGTATGATTAATATGTAAAACAGTAAGCTTGTGTAAACCATATTACCCCTCTTAACATGTACAGGGCAGAGCTTTATCCAATCAGTTGAAGGCCTTAAAAGAAAAAGAATATGCTACCCAAGAAAAAGGCATTCTTCTCGACTCAAGATGTAACTTCATCTTTTCCGTAGGTTTCTATCCAGTGAACCTGTATTACAGACTTACATATGCCAACCCCACAATTACATGAGCCAATTTCTTAGGATACACAGTCTCTTTCAACAGGTAGATGACTATAGATAAACATTATATTGGTTCTGTCTGTCTGGAAAACCGCAACTAATAGACTAGACAACCACAGAATCTCACATCTCTGTATTGTGCAGAACCAGTTTGGGAAATGCTGCTTTAAAAACAGAAGCATGATCACACACATGGAGTGTATATACCTTCTGGTATTCTGCCACTGTTTAGTTCCCACATCATCAATCCATCTCTTTATAGTCCCTTCATTCAGTGTAAGAATTTTCCTCCTCAGATTAACATAGGAATTCTGTAAACAAACAAAAAAGTAAAGTACAGTAATTTCAACATGTAAAATATGGGTACTCGAGTTTTAGGCACATTCTAAAATTAGAGAGTAATACTATTTTTTTGTCTTTTCAGATAGGGTCAATGGTGCCCAGACTGATCTTTTTCTCTTGGGCTTACCTGATTGTGCCTTAGCCTCAAGTTCTTGGATTACAAGCATCTGCCACCATCTCTGTCTGATTTTTAAATATAGGGTAATACAGCCTGGGGTTAACTCAAAGCAAGTATCTCTGACAGTCCCACTTGGCACTTTATAGAAGTACTGGCAGATAAAACTGAATAGCAGACAGCCTTGAGGGGAAGATCCTAAAAGGGCTGTAAAAAAGAGGAGAACCTGATTTCCCTTGGTGAAGTAGGTCAAGGACGCTGAGGACTGATTATTGCTAAGTCTATACCAATGGACTTTGGGTTTTTTAGTACTGTCCTGGTTAGCAACATCATGTTTATGAATCTGTCAACCTATTTTAACTCATTAAGATACTGAATGATATTGGCCAGAAGTCTCCCAAAGGTATGTATGGGAATCACACTGATACAACACTCAACAGGAAAATCTATGTTTTTTGCGAGTAAAAATGAATGTAATTTAGAAATAAAGGATTTGTAATGTCTACCTTTTCCCAAAGTGTCAAGTCTAGTAATCTGATAATTTTGTAGTTCAACAAATCTGGATTTTAGAACCCTTTGTTTTGTTTCAAGTACCAAGTTACAGAACACATAGAGACTTATTTTTACCTCTTTATTCACCCAGAGCAAAATGCTTTGATTCCCTCCAGCAATCATTATCAACTCTTTTCCTGAGTGATGGCTTTCTGAAAGGACACACACAAAATAAATATACAAGGTCATCTAGTGTGAACTTTCACAATCAATTTAAACAATTTTATATTGTTAAATATAGTCACTTTATTCTTGTTAATAGAGATGGAGAAATTTTCCCAGCATTAGGAATTAGAGATACATATATCAGAAGTCCAGCTGCGAAACACTGAGGATTCAAATGGTTATCAAGTGGCATAAATTTAATATAGATAATATAAATATACCATATAAATATTTCATTAGTTGTTAGTTTAATTCAGCTTTCATAACTAAAATCTACCATCTCAAGATTTAACCAATGATTGTGAAGAATGTAACTTTATAAGGAGTTAAAATATGAACTGGTTAAGGAAGTAATTCCACTGTTCATCTTCTCAGAAGAAATGAGAAATTGATTTTTTTTTTTAAAACAAAACAAGGTCTTCCCATGTAGTTCAGGCTGGCCTTGATCTCACAGCTATCCCCTTGCCTCAGCCTCACGAGTGCTGGGATTACAGGTGTGTGACACCATGAGAATTTTTTCTTTTTTTTTTGAGACAGGATCTTACTATATAGTTCAGGCTTGCTTTAACTTTGGTGGCAAACCTATGGCACGTGTGCCACAGCCAGCTGTTTATCATTGAAAGCCCTAAAAGGTTTGCAATCACTGCCTTCAATGTACTATGTAGCCCAAGCTGGCCTCAAACTCGTGGCGATCCCCCTGCTTTAGCCTGCAGCGCTGGGATTATAAGTGTGGTGCACCGTTCTAACTCTTCTGAGCTTTTAGGAACAAGCAACACAAATGCTCCAACATGCTTCCAACACACAGCATTTCAAGGCTCAGGCTCGGGGTTACACTGTATGGTTTGACCGCAGCCAAAACACTTCCTGGCTGTGAGCTAGTGCCTTTGAGGACTGGCTTTGCTCTCTCATCCTCCAGTGAAACAGTGGTGAGAGAATACATCTCCCAAACCACCACAAGGACAACACAGGTAAGTGTGCGGCACAATTCCCAAGAAGGTGTGCGTGTTGGTTGCTCTGCATTCTGAGGGTTTTACAACATCATGGATCAATGAAACCAGCTAGGAAAACCAATCAGCCTGCACTTAAGTCTCTGACAAACTGAAATCAGGGTTGCATTTCAATGTATCAGTTTACATTAGTTCTATTTTGAAGGACTAACAGGAAAATCATGGTTATTTTGACTTAAAAAGGTAGCTTAAATGTTTAAAATTATTTACAATTAAGCATATGAAACCAATATTGAGAGAAACTGCCTTCACATTTGCACAATGCTTTTCTTGTCAAACCATATTAGAAAGTCACTTTCTTTAACAAGGTATTATACCAAACCCCATGCTCCTAGAGAATTTACCAAACTGGAGCTCTTCATTTGATGGTGATTTCATCGGCAGTGGTATCAGCTGAGAACGTTTTCCACCATGTCCTAATTGTCCTTCTTCTCCAAATCCAAAGGAAAAGACCTTGCCCAAATCAGAGACATAGGCAAGTGTGTGCCACCTATTAAACAAAAGCATATACTACTGTCAATGCTCAGTTATCAACCAGTAGTCAGAATATTTAGCAATACTTGGGCTGGGGATATAGTTCAGCGGTGCAGCACCTGCCTGGCAAGTACAAGGTTGTGATAAAAAAAAAAAAAAAAGAAAAAAGAAAAAAAATTTTAGTAATACTGTAAACTGCCCAAATAAGGCTACTAAAATTAGTGAAGCTAAAAAAAATAAATTTAAAAAAATAAAATAAAATTAGTGAAACTAACTGTTCAAGGATAAAACCCATTTGAAGACGAAGAAATCAACATGTGGCTCTGAAGACTTTGTAAATCTTATGCAACTCAAAGCCATGATAACATATGGCTGGTCCTTGATAACATATTCCTGGTCCTTGTCTCGGCCCAGGGGCCCAGGGGTCCAGGAAGTTTGTAATCCGTGAAATGTTACTGGAATTCTAGTGAGTTAATTCCAATCTACCACATACAGTGCAACCCATGGCAAGAATAAAGACACTAAGGCATATCTGTAGTTATGGGGAGCCAAGTGGTTCTAAGTTCGGCCACAATGATGGCTATCTGCAACAAAGGCCTCGACCCAAGGCTGAACCCAAGTTTTATTCATTCAAGTAGCTTGAGGATGAGTGACTGAGAATGGCAGGAAGTAGGTGAGTGCTGTGAGCTGGACTAGGTGGGAGGCCTGAAATCACCTCTGCAAGACAAAGAGAGAAGGATATGAAGAAAGTGTAATCTGCATGACACAATGGAGATACTATCTAATGTTTTGGGATCTGCGCTTCAGCTGTGATGTGTTATTTTTCAAGCCCCAGGAAGTCTTAGCCTCTATCTCGAGGCTCGATCTCGGCGGACAGCACGGAGCACTGGCTCTTCATCCTGCTTCGTCCTGGCTCACACAAAGGAACAATGGGGCTCTGGGGAAATACTACCTGTCAACACTGCCTGCCATTTTCAAAGACTACCATCAGCACCTCCGCTGGACTGATAGGCACTGGTTGAAGTCAACTGAAGGGATTGGGAAAAGTTCTAGCCAGCTCTGTACGTATCAATACATGGAAATAGGGTCAGGTTCAGCCAAAATGGAGACAATTGCTTCTCTTTCAAGGAGAGTCACCCGGGTGGTCCTCCACACAGTTCCTCCGCTAGCAGAAGACTGAATTAACTGATCTCTGAGCTCCCACTCTATTACCCAAGGACCTTCACACAGGCATTTTTCTTACTGACTTGTGCATTGGCTCCTTACTGTAGTAAAGAATTTGGTCTTGCTCAAAGACAGGTCTGGCCACCTTGTACCCAATTTGTAGGGAGTAATCTATAAAGTCTTACTATTTTTCAAGCAACAGAGGGGTGTCTTTGGTGGAACCAGGGGACTACACCTGGCAGGCAGCTCATGATACCTTCTGGCCTTCAACAAGAGAGAGGGGCTAGAGAGTTTAATGTGGCAATGATTCAGTCAGTCTCTCAGCAACAAATCCTGGGTAAAAACTCTGCACAAGGTGATCAGACTGGAAGAAGTAACACCTGTCAACAGCTGTAAGGGAGAGACAACAACCAGAAACTCAGCACTTGGGCTCTTTCCAGACTCCTTCATCTACCTTCCTCTGTTACTAATGGTATATTTTGCTTGTCATAAATCTGAGTTGCCAGCTTCTAGGAAGTTTCTGGAGTCTTCCAGTGAGTTCCACTGTGTTAGCATTTAAAGTGTCTCTACTTGGTTCCTTCTCTTATAATGCATTACACTCAAAGGAACTTGTTGGGAAAAATCTAATGTGGTTTTAACGTTTCCTCGATTAAGATGTATTAATGAGATGTAGCTTCAAAAGACATCGCTTTGGTTAAGAGAATCTTACTCCCATAACCTGGTCTATTTTAATATTATCCATTTAAGGAAATATGTTGACTGAAAAATATGTTCATTTTTTTTAAAGGAAGGATTTCAGGAAGCTCACGGATGAAGCCAAAGTCAGAGTATGAATTTAAATTTAAATTTAAAATGGGTAAGGAAAAAGTGCTCAAAAGAACAAGTGTGTCTAGAATAAAGTGCTGCACCTCTTAACCCTACCAACTTCCATAATCCAAGTGTGAAGAAGTGGACTGACAACTTGGCATATCGGTACACACTTGTAATCCCAGCTTTCTGGAAAGCTGAGGCAGGAGGATTGCAAATTTGAACACAACCTGGCAACTCAGTAGTAATCTGTCTCAAAACAAAAAATTCCCAAAACAAAAAGGGTTGAGAACATACATCAGGCAGAAGCCCTGGGTTCATTCCTCACACTAAAATAAATAAATAAATAAATAAAATAAAAATTGGACTGCTGAATGTGGTGAACAAAGAAAAATCAAGTAGTCTGAGGAATTTTCTGCTTTTATATGTAAAAAATGAGCTGTAAAAACCAAAATTCTCAAGAATATTTCATTTAAATACCATTAACACTTATACCTCATTATGAACAGAGCAGTGTCAAAGTTAACTGTTGCATCACTTAATTTAGACCCTGTTACTACGAACCATTATCTTGAGATTTAGTCTCCTATCCCCTGCCTCCACCGGTCTCCCAGTCAGAGCCTTAGTAGTCATGCCTATGCTGAGTGAAAGCCCTAAAACTCCAGGGCTTAAATCTTAACCTTAGTGTGTTAGGAGTAATGGGAGCTGACTGAAAGGGCAAACAATAAAACTAATCTTACCAAATAGCCATTATCAAGCACTATGTTCTAAGCCCCAATCCTACCACTCATGTGGCCAGTGACCAAAACAAGAAAACAGAAATGCAGAGGATGAGGTCAAAGAATTAGAGAACTAAAGTATTACATGAATTCACTAGCAAGATATACATACTGATTATATTTACGTTATAACACGTATATATGTACTTTTTGGTTTATTGAGACAGGTCTGATTATGTAGCTCAGACTGCCCTTGAACTCATGGTGTTCCTCTAACTCAGCCTCCTGAGCTCTAGGATTACAGATGTCAGGCCACCATGCCCAGTTTACATTCTTTTTAAAGAAACTAAGGGAATGATCTATTTTAAAAAGTAAGCCATTGTTTGCCTCTAATTCTTTAATCTGACAAAGTGAGAAGTTTATACTCTGTGCAACAAATATCTTTGAAAATTAAAAACATTTATATAACTAAAAAGTTTATTAGTTCCAAAGAGTTATGAAAGAGTGATTATATTAATGAATAATCCTTGTGATTGATACTTGTATTTTTTCCAAGTAAATACATAATGACTTATTTGCCTACAGGATAAGAGTGCACCTGATGCTGGCCTATGAGTTCTAGGCCACCCTGAGCTACGTAATGAATTCAAGGCCAGCCTGGAAGACACAGTGAAACCTGTCCCAACATTACAAAGTGCACCTGAATAAAAAGTATTTCACTTTTGTAAGGAGGCAATAAAAAAGAGTACTCTTATTTGCTTATTTACAAAAATTAGGCTTGGGGGATAGCTCTGTGGAAAAGCACATGACTAGCTTGTGAGGGTCCCTGGTTTTTGTACCCCAACAGCCCCTATGGAGGACCACCTAGGCCACTCTCCTTCAAAAAGGAGTATTGCCTCCATTTTGGCTGAACCTGACCCTGTTTCCACGTACTGATATGTACAGAGCTGGCTAGAACCCTTTCCTTATTTCTTCAATTGGCTTTAAGGAATGCATATCAGCCAAGGGGCTGATGATAATCTTTGGAGATGGCAGGCATGTTTCCCCAACCTCCACTGTTCCCATGAGTGAGCCAGGATGAGCAGGGATGTGTGAGCGAATGCTCCACACTGTTGGCTGGCATTGAGCTTGGGACAGAGGCTATGACTTCCTGGGGCTTCAAATATTACACATCAGAGCTGAAGCACTGACCCCTAAACATTAGCTATTATCTCAGTTATGTTATGCAGATTACTCTTTCTGCATATCCTTCTCTCTTGCATATGGCAGAGGTGATTTCAGACCTTTTACCTAGCCCAGCTCATGGCACTCACCTACTTCCTACGGTTCTCACAGTCATTCATCCTCAAGCCACTCCCTTCTTCATCAATGAATAAAACCTGGGTTTGGCCTTGGGTCCAAGCCTTTGTTCCGGATAGCCATCATCATGGCAGGTCTTAGGACCTCTTAGCTCCCCATAACTACAAATATGACTTAGCATCTTTATTCTTGCCATGGGTTGCACTGTAAGTGATAGACTGCAATTAACTCACTAGAATTCCAGTAACTTTTCATGGGATTACAAAGACAAACTTCCTCGGCCACGACGAGGACCAGGAAGGGCTCTCTATAACCCCCTTCAAAAGAATAAAAATTAAATCAATGCAAATGAACATGCATATTAAAAATTATGACCAATTATGTAATTCAGTATCTTCATTGGAAAATTTTGCGATTTGTATCTCAAAGACACTGATGAAAATTTTATTGAAATACCTGTTTTTTACATGGATTTTATCATTATTTGTTGACACTTTACAACTTACCTTCCACATGCTATCTGAGTCACTCTATTTCCAATGAATTCAGTCACCAAACAGGGTCTTAGTTCATTCTCTGTTGAATTGTGACCAAGTTGCCCGTATTTTCCAGCACCAAAAGTGAACATGAGCCCGTCCTAAGGGAAGTGAACTTCGTATCAAACACTACAAAAGCACCCCACACAAGTCACATTCACTGATGCCTCTGCCTCAGGGACTAGGCAGCAATGCAGCAGGGAAGGAAAGCTCCCAGATTACCAGGCCGGCCTCATGCTGGGAAGGGATGACTTTCTCCCCTGGGAAACACTAATTCCCCCCACAAAAGGTTCTTGCACGAGTGCAAAGGAGATGGGAGCACACCCACCTGTGTGAGGAGGGCAGTGTGAGCGCCACCACAAGCCAGAAACTCAACTTTCTGATTGTCTGGGATGTCAACAAGGGAAGGAGAATCTGTATCTGTGCAGGGAAAGAATAGCTGAAGTGACCAAAAAGAAAGGCTGAGTTTCACACTGGAGTCACCTAGACTGCTTCCCCTCAACCTAGCAACAGTTAAGTCTCCCTCCCATTCTGACACCAAGCTGTAAGTTGGCATATTTAGGCTCAAGTTCTAGGGATAAAGCTCCAGCTGCAAAAGTCAAGTCACTTCCTGACCCCATTCCATTCTTTTCTAGCTAATTTCATTAACTTTAATTGCTACATATAATATTTTCAATTCTTGCTTATGACAACACTTTTTCTGTTTGCAGCACTAGGGATGGAACCCAGTGCCTCATGTATGCTGAGCTATACCACCGAGCTACATCCCCAGCTCTAGTATTACTTTTAATAACCGTATTCTTTTTTTTCTTGAACACTCTAAGGCAGTATCCTCACCTCAAATTATCTTTTACTTCCTTCATGATTATTTTCCTTACACTCAGAGATCAGCAAAAATAGTTTAACTGCCCCTTTAGTCTTTTCCTTCTTTGAATATTTTTGTTAGCACTGACTTATGAGTTATCATCTATAATGACTGCACTGCAAGTATGATGTGTTTGACCAGTGATCCACAGTACTGTACATTAATATATCCAGGTAAAACAGCAGTGTTTGTTACAAAGGAGAAGCCTAGTAAGTTGCTTTGACCATGAAGAATTTTGCCTTATCCTCAATGAAAGGAATTTCAGGGCTTTAGGTGTGTAGAAACAGAATGCATGCTTTATAGAATAAGATCAGAGTATGATAAGTTCCTAAGCAGAATTTTCATATTTTTTGTAATAATATGAGTCAATTTTAAAAACAAAGGCAAGTTAGGGGTAACTTCTGAACTTGTCTCTTTCAAAAAAAGAAAATCAGGCCTAGAGAAAAGTAAATGATGGGAAAGGCCCTGAAACAAGTAAACCACAAAGTGGGAAGCAGGATCCAGGTACTCTGACACTTAATCCCTTCCTCATCTCACACAGACAGAAAACCCATCTCAATTATATTAACAACTTCCACACTGCGCATGTCTCTAGGACCCACTGTGTCCTGAAGACAAGGAGAAAAATCAGGAAGAACAGTGTAAAGGAAGGGGGGATCTGATCCATTTACGAGGAGTTGTATGCTCCATTCACCTCAAACCTATCCAATACAGTTGTAGATAACACAGATTTGAAAATATGTTCCATACTCTCAGTGTGGCCCAGGCCTAGCTGTCCACAATCATTTCTCCCCCATGAGTAGACATTTCCAGACATGGATAAGGCCATGCTGTGGGCTTCTCCTGCAGAAATCTGCACCAACGGGACTCCTGTGAGGCTCTGCACAGCCTGTGGCGTGGGGGTTGAGGGAAACATCCTTCCAACTCCGAGCTGTCCATGGACGTTCTGTCCCCAGGCAAAGAGCTCACCACCTTGATGCAAGCAGAAAAAGTGCTGTCTTACTAAATTTCAAACGCAACAGACATGACCATGGGGGGTTATGTATACTGCACGGTATAAAGCACTAATTCCTATCCCCATCATGGGGGTACAATGAAGCTACCTGAATAGATGTTAATCAGAATCAAGAAATAGGGTGAATAAAAGATAAGACGAATGTTTAAACTTTGTACAGGAAAACACACATTGCCTGAATGATGGGATAAATATGTTCAAAGGGTGTGGGAGTATTTTGAATGTGTCTTTTACTGTAGTAAAGTCTCTAAACTTTCTCCGCAGTTTTGATCTCACTGTGTCGATCAATCGTTAAAGGCAATTTCTATCAAATAAAAACATTATGGCCAGGCGTGGCGGCACACACCTGTAATCCCAGCACTTGGGAGGCTGAGGCAGGAGGATCATTGCGAGTTCGAGACCAGCCTGGACTATAAAGTGAGCTCAAGGGCAGCCTGAACTGTATAGCAAGACCCTGTTTCAAAAAACAAAACCCCCGCCCACACAAAAACAAAAAAATTATAGTGTTTCTTCATCCTTTATTCATGGACTCTTGCAATGTGTGATTTCTGGTTCTTTTTCAAATTCAAAATGACCCTAAAAGGTAATGTGAATCAATTAAGGACAATGTGGCCCCCATGACAATGCAACTGAAGACACTTATGGAGAGGACTTCCAGAAAGTGGCAAGAACAATAGGCTAAGGGAGGGAGCATATTTTGACTGGGATTAATTGTAATGTATTTTCACTGTAATAAATTTTTTAAAAGTCAAACATTTGCCATATTTGTTGACCATACCTTGCACTTATTTAAAGAAAAATCTACATGCGAGGTGCATAAAAATCAAATATATTCTACCTCAGAGAAAATAAAATCTAGAACTAGCGTTTTCTCTACTTTTTTTCCTTTCTTATGTCTAAAGATACTGAATAAGTTAGTTAAAAATCCACTTGAAGCCAAGTATGGTGGTGCTTACCTGTAATCCCAGCTACTTAGGATGCTGAAGAGGGAGGATCCCTTTGTTCATGAGTTCAAAACCAGCCTGGGCAACATAGTGAGACCCTGTCTCAGTATCTTAAGAGATTCAGCTGCTTGTTCTACTAATTGAATATGTGCAGCATATTTTTCAACAATGCTTTTAAATGTTATCTAACGGAGTTGCCAATATCCAAGGGACTCTGAAAATATGTATCAGAGAATCAGGGGTTTACTGAGTATCTCTGAGTGCAGGAGGATATGGTTGTGGTAGGGAGCCTCTTCTTCAAACACGATTATTAAGACTCTCATCAGCCATGAGGAAGAAGATACGAAAACGACTAATTCCCTTCCTGCATCTCCATCTCTAATTCTTTCTGATTATGATTTACACATGATGTTTGTTTGAGAAGAATTGCATTATGTTACACAGAGAGGTCTGTAACTTGTAAATCTCCTGCCTCAACCTCCTCAGTAACTGGAATTACAGCTTTGAGCCTCTCTACCCAGCAGATTTAGCAACCCTGGATAGTCCCTCCCCTCCACATCACCAGACCCTAGACTTCATGAAGACAGGGTAGATCTGTCTCACCTTCCTAACCTCCCCTGGAAGATACTCGATATGAACAATCTGTTCATGAACGGATGAAACCAATGACCAAGGTTTTCAGCGCAGGTTCACATCTCCGTGCCTCAAGAGAGCCTTCAGGACAGGTCAAATGCTTGATCATCTACTTTCCTCCAATCCTGGTTTCCATTCAGTTTATCAACATGTTTCCGTGAATTTAAAAAAAAAATTACCTTAAGCCTAATTTCCCTGTCATCCTGCTGTCTTAAGTATTTCTTTGACAGTCAAGTTTCAGGATGTAATCTATAGTGACTGCTTCCATTTCATCGATTACAGTGGATGGCAGGAAATACTGAAGGGCTGGGAGAATGCTGGAATTCAAAAGGTGGTGTTAAAATACACCTGTGGCTTGTAGAGCAGAACTAGGGGATTCTGAGATACTCCCACAGAGGTGGAAGAGTGCTGGGCCTGGCATTCTGCAAAGAATAGTTCTGAAGCAGTAATGGCAGTGTGAGTCTGGAAAAGGAGCTATTGGGAGTCTGAGGTATAAGCTCTGGAGTTCAAAGCCAACATGAACAACACAGCTAGACTCTTGACACTCCTTCTGAAACCATAAAGAAAACCAAATACCACCACCACCCATGGTTTTGATTGCTTATAAAACTTTTAGTGTTTCTTATTTCAAAAATAAAACCATGAAACAAAATGTAGGAATAGTAATTCTAGAAACCTGAAGTTTTTATACATCCAATAATTCTCATTTCTATCTCTGTTAAAAACAACACTTTCAACTGTCTAAAACTCAAAACTCGATTTCTTTCCTGTTACAAAAGAGTAATCAACCGACTATACACACACACACTTATTAGTTCTAAAAAACAATTAGTACTATAGAAAAGTACCTTTTGAGAGTGCAAGAGAATGATAATATCCACATGCAATGTGAATTATATCTTTTTCATGTAAAATGCTTTGAAACCTGATGAGAGAAAGTATATTTTGTGTCAATTACCATATGAAAGTCACAACATGCATTTGGAACTATGTATGTTATTAGCAATGAAATGCAACCAAAAAAAACCTTTAAATTACTGCATTACATTTAGAACATCTAAAATCATAAAAATTTATATTTTAATCATTTGTAGAGGAACGTAACATTGTGTAATTGTAGTACGATAATTTTAAAATAGTCTTACTGAAACAACTGTATGATGGAAAAATACATATAAGTTGGAAGTAAGTTCTAATTCATATGATCTACTAAAAGAAAATCTCACATATCACCACACAGTAACGCATCCCCCTGCCTAAGATGAACACCATTATTTCTAGAAACAACTTATAGAATTGCTCTAGGTTCAAATAAGTGATAGATCTTTTCAAACTAATTGATCATTTTATTTAAGTTCTTAAAATACACACTAGCGTTAGCATACGTACTGGCTTGAAGTGGACTGAGGGACCACACTAGTAAGTGGAAAATTTATCACTTAAGACTTTCCTTTATGAAACAGAGGACAGGAATCATACATACACGGTAACGTGTTCCTACACAAACTACTACTGTCCTTCAGATGAAATTAAGTCATATCTAATGAAAGAGAAAAGCAATTCTCACCTTGCAGGTTCTATGCTGTAGCTGTACTCAAAAACTTTTCCATCCGAGGACAGAACCAGCATGTGCTCTACTCCTTGGTCCATGGAATGAATCTTCATCTTTTTCCCTAACTTCAGGCACTCTGCAGAGCAAATCCAACCAGGAGCTCATCACTCTGATTATTACCTACTATTATCATAAGCTTGCCATAACAATACACCTCAAATACTTGGAAAAAAGTTCAACTAGACACTCTCTCAAGTAACACGACTTTCTCTTTAAGAAAATTCAAAACTGCACAGCAAATAAGGAATAAACAACTATCTTACTAATGGACTTTAATTTGGAAAACACTGATTTCTCTCGTTTAAGTGAAATAGATCCTTAAAATAGCCAACTAAATGGTATCTGATTTTTAAATCTTTGGTTAGTAGGTTGAGAGAAAGAAACTAGATTTCAAATGACCAATGAAAAAGTCCTTTGAAAAGCGTAATTGTAGGACAACATAAGCATTTCAAGGACAAATATATTGTGTATTCTGACACATACTCCGATCAAAATAAAACAAACAATAATGAACAGCGCTAGACTGCTCTGAATAGAAGTCGATGCCTATGCTGACGGGAAGAACTGTTTGGGAGACCATGTTTAAAGAAGACAAAGAATTTTTACTGGCATTAGTACATATTTGGCCCCTGCTAAAAATCAGATTTAAAACTATTCACTAGTTAGTCTCAATTTATTCATGAAATTTAATCTCAATTTATTCATGAAATTTAAACTAGGATAATTTGGGGATCTTGTTTCACTCTTCAGTTCTAAGAAAATGGAATCTACTCATGTAAAAATCTTACAACCCGACCATATTACAAATAGTAGCAGAACAACAACAAAAAATACGGTTTGGTAAGGAAAAACAGCCTACAGATTACAACCAGGTGTTGTTGGCTTGTTTTTGTTTTTCAAATCAGCTCATAAAAATTGTTCAAAAAACCATTTAGAGAAATATATAAACCTAGATCCCCTCCTTAAATCAAATAAATTCTAACTGTAACAAAATTTTAACTTAAAAATGAAACGTTAGAAATACTGCAAATATGAGCACATTTAAAAAATCTTGCAAGGTGAACATCTTCCTAATTTAACACAAAATCTATTAATCTCCTTAAATGAAAAAAACTGGTAAGACTATTAAAAGGTTTAAATTTTTGCACAGAAAGAAATAAGTCAACAGTCAAGAGGAGAAAAATACAACTTCCTTGATAGGCAAAACGTTACTTTTATTCAATATTCAAATACCTCTTTCAAATAAAGTGATCAATGACTCAAATTTTTTAAAACCCAGGCAGAAACATGAAGGGGTAGCTTGCCAAAAAAGGAATGCAAATGACCAACAGGAACTGAAAAGATGCTCAAATTTCCTCAAATGCACAACAGTGAGATAACCACTTTCTTCCAAGATGCGCAAAATTCCAAAGATTAGGAGTGGGCATTTACTCTGCCATATGTAAAATCGGAACCACAGCGCTTATCAATCTGGGAATAAGGAGCTGGGAAAAGCGCACTAGAAGGGCAAAGTAAGGCATCAATGAGAAAGACAACCAAGTTCGCTAAAGCCTCACACAGTCGGGGTAGGATTTTCGGAGCTGTTTTATCCTGGTGCGGTGCCAGCACACGCTCGCTCTCTCTAAAATTCCACGTCGAGCCGCGGCCCCGCTACACCGCCCCAGCGGCCGTGGCGGGGCGCTCCACAGACGGCGGGCCGAGAAAGCCGCTCGGGACGGAAACC